GTGTGTCTCCTTCCGTCCTTTACTTAAAAACAGGCTCTGCTCTCCAGCACAATGGTGACCCACAAAACACAACAGGAAGTTGACTGTTAGGTTTTACAGTATTTTGCTGTTTTCTTTTCTTGATTTTACGGTGAAATACTGGCAGCTGTAGTTGCCATTAATCTACAGTTTTTTACAGTTTGATTCCGTAAATTAAATTAACAGTATATTTCTGTTAAAAATGTGTTCATCTCACACATTTAACCCCTTTAATCCCACAGCAAAATCCTCAGTTTTAAAGAGCACTTATATGTGCTATATGTATTACAGAGTGTTGAAGTGACACTGAAGCGGTGATGAAGTTAATGAGATAATTAAATGAGGATTGAGCATTAGTGATGAACACCTGTTAACAAGCAGAATCACTGAAGGAAAGAGAAACAAGAGCAGAGAAACACAACTTACAGCCAAAGCCAAAGATGAAATCAACTGAAAATAAAACACATTAAATTTATCAAGATCTCAGCAGAGGAGGCTTAAACAGCTCCACAAACAGCATCACCAGCTTCTTATTACTAACCAGTGTGACTTTATTTCTGTCATATGTGTACAAAAGCTCTTATTGAGATTTTAGGTGTTGTACTTTCATTTGAAGTCACCATAATGGCGATCGGTGTTTGCTTTAGTTGGGCTCTTGAACCTTGACTTTTTAAAAATAGTTTTTCTTTGGTTGCTTAAATTAGCTGTGAAAAGCCAAAGGAATCTATGATCAGGTGAAACTGGTGTTTGTGATGTCAAGACCATCATGAACTAGTCTGATTCACTGATCTCACCTAATATTTAATCTCTTATTAAGTGTGTAACATATAACTAATACTCTTGAGTTGCACCACTGATACTAACGTAATCATTGTGAAACATTCCTAAGCACAATATACACAAATAAAGGCTTTGAACTATGGCAGAACTTAAACACACACAGACATCAACAGTCAGCCTATGAATCTCAACATTGGTGACAATCAAAAAAAAAATTTAATGATTTTTTTTTTTAATTAATAATAGTCACCATTGTTGAGATTCATTTGCTGATTCTTGATGTCTGTGTGTGTCTAAACGGTGCTCTAAAGGTTTTGTGCATTAAATGTTTTTAAATTTCTTAACAATAGTTTGTCAACATATCTTGTAGAGTCATATTAGTACCATAAACAAACAAAAAAATTAATCAACCCATATAATTAGACACTAATTTAGATCAGTGAATCAGATCATGAGATGATTTCATCATCATTAAAGGGGTCATATGATGCGATTTCAAGTTTTCTTTTCTCTTTGGAGTGTTACAAGCTGATTGTGCATAGATAAGATCCCTGAAGTTGGACTTTGTAGAAGTGCGTTTTACCGGCTCGGGCCGGTAATTCTGATAAGCTGTCGGACAAGCGCCGGGCTAGGGCCTGAGCGTCTCGGCCCAGGGCCAGGCTAGGGCCTATATTTGAGGCCCGTGCAGGGTTCTATTCATTATGGACAAACCATGACTACCACAGAAATCCAATAAGAACTCGGGTTCAGATCAGGGAGGCTGTTCTTCCCAATCACGCCCCTCCAAGTGTCACTGTCACTGCCCACGTGGGCGTTAAAGTCCCCCAGTAGAACGACAGAGTCCCCAGTAGGAGCGCTTTCCAGCACGCCCCCCAGGGACTCTAAAAAGGCCGGGTACTCTGCACTGCCGTTCGGCGCATAAGCACAAACGACAGTGAGAGATCGTTCCCTGACCCGAAGGCACAGGGAGAAGAACTATTAACAAGCCCACACCAGCCTCTCACCCTGTGCAACGCCAGAATAGTGGAGAGTCCACCCTTGGTCGAGAAGAGTGGTTCCAGAACCCAAGCTGTGAGTGGAAGTGAGCCCGACTACATCTGGACGGTATCTCTCAACCTCCTGTACCAGCTCAGGCTCCTTCCCCGCCAGTGAGGTGACACGTTATTAATTAATCTTACTTATTATTATTAATATTACTAATATTAATATTAATCTTAAATGTATGATTAGACTAGGCTTGCCGCGATAGACGGTGCTGATGGTGATACCGGTGTTAAGCCGCAACACCGGTTACGTCACTTGCCCACCGCGGCACCGACCCCCACCGTCGTTTTGATTTTTTATAGTAATAAAAATCATTTAGTTCAGTAAAAGAACAGACGCTACAATTAAAAACTGAACGCGGCTGCTTCAATGCAGCGTGCCGAACGACAGTCGCATCACAGATCAGATTTCATTTCTCCAGTGAGGAGAGTGAGTCGAGCAGACTGTCAAGAAGAGTGAGGTGAGACAGACAAGACGATGGCGGATGATTTAGTTTCGAAACGAGATGCAAAAGCGCCTGTTTGGCAATATTTTGGATTTTGAAAAGCCTGTTGACTTTTGCCGTTTATCTAAGGTGATTTTGGAAGTTTTTTTAAACATTCGTTTCTTATTTAATTGGTTCCACATTGTTTGCTGATTTTTACTTTATTTAAACTTTGTCATTTATTTATTTTATTTGACATCAAGGTGTATGCCGTGCCTCCAAGCTTTCTTACTCGTTTTGCTAATAAACGTTCTACATTTCTTATTTATTTGGTTATATATTATATTATATATATATTATTATACATGTTTACTTATTTCCAGTTTTGTATACCTATTAAACTTAAACTTTATGCAAGTTATTTGCTGCCGCTAATTCGAAAGTGAACGTAAAATGCGCACGGCGCTTTAAGCTATTTAAAAGCGAGTAAAAGAGGGAAAATTCAAACGAACTAAAAACTAACAATTGCTTTACTCCGAATTGCCGCTATTTTAAAGTGAAAGTAAAATGGGCACACCACTTTTACAAGCTATTTAAAAGCGAAGGAAAGCGAGGAAAAGAGGGAACGCACCCGCCCCCGCGGTGATACCGGTATTACCGCTGTTGTCACACATCGATTAACCGGTGGGAAAATTTCCTCGCCGTCACAACCCTAGATTAGACCATAACAAGGATGCCTTAAAATAAAGTGTAACCCTTTATTTTAATGTGTCTTTGTTATGGTGTAATTATACATTTAGGTACTGAGTAATATTAATTAACTAAATGTACTTACTCTTAGGGTTAGTGATTGGTTTAGGGTTAGCTGCTTAAAATGATGCATAATTTACTGTTATTACTACAGTAAGTACATGTGTAGCAAGGACACTGTAAAATAGTGTTACATAATTTTTTTTATCAAGTTTAAAATGTACTTAAAATTTTAATGTTTAATATTTTGAACCATTTTCTTGTTTTAAATGAATGACTTCTAAAAATGTCAAGTGACATCAAGTATTTCCCTTACACGTGTATAAAATTATTTACGTTTTCAGACATATTTTTTAAGGTAGAGAATTTTTTTTTTCAAAGACTTTACAATAAGGTTTCATTGGTTAACTTTAGTTAATGTGTTAACTAACAATGAGCATACATTTGTTACAGTATTTATGAAGTTACAGTAAATACAATACACTTCTATATACAATACATTTGTTACAGTATTTGTTATTGTTACAATAAACATTGTAACAACATAACTGTTCATTGTTAGTCCATGTTAGCTCAGGTCCATTAAATAATATTAACAGAAACAACGTTTGATTTTAATAATGTCTTGGTAAATGCTGAAAATAACATTAAATACGATTAATACATGCTTTAGACGTATTTTTCATTGTTAGTTCATGTTAACTTGTGTTTAATTTTTGACAAATCCCATTAATAAGTGAAAATAAATATATTACGTCATTTAGCAGACGCTTTTATCCAAAGCGACTTACAAATGAGGACAATGGAAGCAATCAAAACCAACAA